ACATGAAGTTTGATGCAAAATACCTTTTGATTCAAACAATTGTCTCATTTTATAATTCAAAAACTCAGTTCCATTATCTGACCTAACTGTTTTAATTTTAACTCCAAATTGATTAAACAAAATATTAAAGAAAACAAGAACACAACCATAAACTTCATCTTTTGATTTCAACAAATAAACCCATGTAGCTCTAGAATAATCATCAACTATGGTTCAAAAATACCTAAATCCTTCTGAGGTTGTCACTCTATAGGGCCCCCAAACATCCAAATGAATTAACTCACCAAGTTTAGTAGTAACATGTTGACTAGCAGGAAATGACTCCTTAGTTTGCTTAGCCTTATGACATACATCACAGGGTGGCAGTACTTCATTACCAAAATTTAATTTAGTTCTTAGAGATCCTAGGGCTTGATCAGAAGGATGACCAAGTCTATTATGCCAAGTTAATTTTGATACACAACACACAGAATCAGAATGATTATAACTACATGAATTACCTGAAGGTACACTATTGATGTAATAGAGACCCTCAGATTCTCTACCATTCCCCACCATCTCCTTTGATTGTAAACCCTGAATTTTACAACTATGTTCATTAAAAACAACCTCGCAATTACTGTCTTTACAAACCTTATGAACAGACAACAAGTTAACATTAAAATCAGGAACAGCAAAAACATCAAAAAGAGTCAAAGAATTAGACAAATTCATATTGCCAATTTTTTCAATTTTAGCTGAAGTACCATTAGGATGGCTAACCAGAAGATCTAGTTTAGACACATCCACGGTATCATGAAGAAGAGACTCAGAAGCAATCATATGTTGATTAGCTCCAAAGTCAACAATCCACTTTAGAGGACTAACAGATGAATTAAAAGCTTGAATCAAACAGGTACCTGCCATATTAACACTGGCAGAAGTTTCCTCATTAAGCTGTCTATCACCAATAAGTTGTAAGAATTTGAAGTATTGTTCCTTAGTGAGCTGATGAAACTCTGAATCCCTACTAGAATCAGGAGTACTAGAAGGAATAGCATTCCCAGAGGTAGTAGTAGAGGAATTGGCAGAAACATTTTTATTAAAGCCATTCTGATTACTAGACTCATTTCTTGACTTAAAATCCTTAGGATAACCAATTAGCTTATAACATTTATCAATTGTATGACCTTTAATTCCACAATTTTTACACTGAACAGATTGAGTTTTGTTTTTATTAGTGTTATTGAAACCAGATCTGTTATTAAACCTGCTATTAAAAGCAGCAGGTTGAGACTTAGACAAAGATTGTGAAGACTGAAGAGAAGACAAGGATCCATTTCTTTGAATAGATTCTTCTCTTGAAAGAATAGAAAATGCAGTTTTAACATTAGGTAAAGGTTCCATTAGCAAAATATGACTCTTTACTTGACTATAGGACTCATCAAGTCCAGACAAAAAATGCATAAGTTTCATGAGATTAGAATGATCTTTCAGCTTGATAGCAGCTTCACAAGTACACTCAGTCAAGTTAGTAAGACCATCAAATTCCTTCCACAAGGAATCAAGTTTATTAAAATAATCAGACAAAGAAATTCCATTTTGTTTAAGTGTATTAATTTGTTGATGTATATTAAACACAACTGAACCATCTGACTTATTATAAGTTTCAAACAAATTATTCCAAATATCCTCAGCTACCTCAGAGTAAGCTTGACTCTGATATATAGAATCAGAAATAGAAGATAAAAGCCAGGAACATACAACAGCATTAGCCCTATCCCACTTAGATTTTTTTGACTCATCAACACTAGTTTTCTTAAGAGTACCATCAATAAATCCAAGTTTATTCCTAGCTTTGAGAGCTCCAGAAATAGAACTCTTCCATAATCGAAAATTTTCATTTCCAGTTAACTTTGTAGTAACTATTGAAGTAATAGCATTATCAGATGGATGAATATAGAGAGGATCATCAAAATTAAATGACTCATCCTTTCCACTTCCACTAGGTATAGAACCAGAATCACCACCCGAAGTAGTGTCTCCGGCCATTTAGAAAAAACAAAGTAAAGAACAACAAATAATACCACAAACAGGAGACAACAGTACTAATCTAATGTCCAGATAGTCACCAGGTATGTTAGGGCCCAAGACAATCAGTACAGTGTCAAAAAACAAACAAAAAAATATAATGCAAGAAACCAAAAAATGGTGTGCACAATACAACCACAGACTCCCAACCAGAACAATATTACCAATCAATAGAGAAAAAAAGGAACAAGAAAGTCCTCACAGTGAGTTGGAAGCGACTAAGAAGAATCGACTCTCTAAGTCCGTTCTCTACTAGGGTTTATCGGTGATCAAATCCGACCCCTAGAGAGTTATTTCGGAGTAGAGATTAATCGATATGAGAATTTTGAATATCAACAGAAGCGAAGCGCTAATATCACAAGCGTTTGTTTCACCTTTACTTGTTACCTGCAAGAATCAAAACATTCTCGCAGTACCAGGATCTTGAACAACAAAACATACAAAAGAAAGATCTATAAAAGAACAGAAATGATCTTCACAAGAAGGAATCAGAAAAATACCGTTCTTAGATTGACGATCTGATGATGAAAGCCACAATCGAGTGTCTGCAACAACAAATCGGAGCCTGAAAGCTCTGATACCATGTTAAAAAACGCAAACACAAAAACTTCCCAACTTGAACAGTTTATTTAATATAAACCAGTTCGATTATACATCAACTTACATCAGAACCTTACTACAATAACACTCACACTCGGATGAAAAAAAACTAAGAACAAGATCTAACAAAGTTATGAACATCTATGGGAGAAAACCCTAACAGATACCGAGAGAGAAAGAGATGAAAAAAGTATCTAGATCTGATAGATGAGTCCAAACTGATCAAGCTTCATCTCTTAAATACTTCAGATACTTGATCAACCCATAAAGCATCCAAGATCCGCACATTGACCCGAATCATATTACCTGTATACAATTTATACAATCTACTCACAAATAGCAACAATTATACAAAACACATCCTTTAACATGTAAATTTCTGTTTGTCAAATACTAAAGGTATTTTCAACATAATTCATGGGTATTTATTCACCTAAATAAAATGTGGTTGGAAATACTATTAAACTTTAAAAAAAAAATTGGATGGCAAATTAATTGGTTAGCAAGTTTGTATCCTCTTTAGTTAGAATCTATTTGTCCATATTCGAACGACTTTGACTCCAAAAGATATTATCCTCGTCAGGCTAGCCCTATTTGGGTATTAAACTCTAAAGTTTATTTTACACTTTGTCTAATCATGTCCGTGATTAAATTTCATCAAATTTACCCTATTATACTCTTAAATCTTAATGAGAATGCTAATTCATGGGTATTCATTCACCTAAATAAAATGTGGTTGGAATTGGTTAGCAAGTTTGTATCCTCTTTAGTTAGAATCTATTTGTCCATATTCGAACAACTTTGACTCCAAAAGATATTACCCTCGTCAGGCTAGTCCTATTTGGGTATTAAACTCTAAAGTTTATTTTACACTTTGTCTAATCATGTTCGTGATTAAATTTCATCAAATTTACCCACCTGCCATGTATATGGTTCATGGTTTTTTTTCTACGAATTATTATTATTTGGAAGTTGGAACATTATAAATGTTCCAAAAAGGGTGCTAATTTATAAAAGGAAAAAAACAAACAAACATACAAAATGACTTTAAAAACTACTATAATGACTCTTACAAATTGTTTAATACAATGCTAACAGATAGAAACTACATTAGCAATGAAACTAAAAGACTAGCAGATGCCTTTAACCTTCTTTGATTTCTATATTAATTACAACTATCTAGAACTTTTAGTGTGCAATTATATATTAAACAAATTTCAGCCTTCCAAAACTAAATAACAATTAATAAGTTTCCCTTCCTGAAGCTTTACTTTAATCGTGGATCATATCAAGGGAGGCATATTCCTCTCTTTGTGGTGGTGGTAGGTGCCTTTTGGGGACAGCAAAAGTACAAAATGTGTTTCCTCTGTCTCAATATTTAATTATACTCCACTTGTTTTAATTAAAAAATTACCAAATATCCAACAAAATCTACATGCTAATAAACATTTCCCACGTCAAGAGTATAAAAAATATATATACCCCCTGAAATAATTTATTACATAGGATGCCACTCGTTTGAAAAAAAAAAACAGTAGGCAAGACTTAGGAGTTTTTTTCCCTATTAAGTGTTTTATTTGTAGAGTGTTTGAATATGCAATGATGTATATATGTGGCAAGGGTTGTATATGTAACGTATGAATAAACGGTTTTAATTAGACAACGAAGTTTTTTTTATAGTTGTTATCAGACTCATTTTTTTATCATCATTTTTTTATCGGACTCAGTAAGAAACATATCAGAAACTATAAGACTGAAACGGATGCTTCCAATTGTGGTATCGAAAAGTTTGGATTTGGCCGAATCAAACCAAGTCTCTTATTAGACTCAACAAGAAGCAATATCAAACAACCTCTAAATAACAAATTTATCCTTATATTTAAAATAAATAAAAATATTCCGTGAAAAAAAAAACCCAATAGATAAAAGATTTGCATCTTAATTCATTAAAAGACACTTCTAAACTGAATCATTTTGTCCTGATTAAATCAAAATATTTTGTCCGGATTAAATCAAAATAAATGATACAACCTTGTCCATATTAAGTACTTAATTTATCAAGTCTATTAAATCATAAAGACACATCACTCTATCTTACTCCCTATCATACCATTTCCCTCTTCACTTTTCACATAATTACATAAATATAAGATCATAATAAGAATATTATACAAAAACATATCAAGTTTATGTATCATATGGAAAAAGTGAAATTCTGATACAAAACAAAGCAATGTTTGCCTGCCTATACAATACAAGGAGCTATAGCTTTTTCTCTTTCCCCCAACACCAAAAAAAGATATGCCAAAAACCCAACCCCCCCCCCCCCCCCTCTTTTATATCTACACTTTATGACATCAAAACTTCAAATCCCTACCCACTCCCTCTCTTCCCAAAAACATCACAACATAAACATATATAAATCTATCCATCATAATCTACTTAATCGCATATGATTTGTTGCAAACAATCTCAAGCGCCTCCATTATCAACCCAGAAAAGCTTGTCATAGCTTGAAAAACACCCGGTAAACCCGTTTGAATGTTGTTTAAAGTCATAGCTCTTGTAACCTCAACCGCCTTCGAGTGTCTGACCATTTCGTCCTCCACCCGTCTCTGACACGCCACGAGCTCCGTCTTTTTCTCGGAAAGCGGGTCCCGCGCGTCCAAACCCTGCCCGTTGTCCTGCCCGCTTCCCGGGAGCCCGAGCCCGACCATCGAGTAAGAATGGTAGTACTTCTTCTCTATGTTTCTCAAAGACGATGCTTTTTTCTCAAGCTCTTTTGATGCTGATTCTGTTCGTTTTTTCACTTTCATTTCTTCTGATTGTTTCATCGAAATCGAGTGGACGACATTTATGAAGCTCTTAATGGCTTCAGACGCAACTGTGTCGGGTAATCGATCAAGGGCTAGTTTCCATTCATCAAAAACCAGGTAAACATCGGATGATTGTGAGGTGTTGGATTCTTCTGTGTTGATGGGGAGGAGAGTGAGTTTGAACCACGCGTGAAGGGATTTGATGAAGTCTCTTTGGAATTTTATGAGGCGGCAGAAACTGGTGTGCCAGGCGGACACCGCGGCTTCCAGGTCACGAGTTGACTGGCGGTGGAGGTCGGAAGTTGACTCGCCTTTCGTTGACCGGTTGACTAGTCCACGCACTTGTTGGACAACGTGGTTTTGGTATTCATGGCATTGGTTCATGGATCGCCACATGTACATAAACCTGAAATTATGATGACGTGGCGTAAGTCACCATCTTTTTTACCCTAGTAACAAAATGACAATTTTTACGATTGAGAAATTGCTTTTTCAATGGTCCCCGCCACAAAAAGCCTTTAAAAAAAATTGTGATTCTTTTTGTAAAATGACATCATCATTTTCCGTGGGGACCATTTAAAAAGCAATTTCGTACGCAATTTCGTAATTTGAAAATCATTCGTTCCAAAAACGTTTAATGACGAAAACGCCCCTAAATTAGTTACCCATGACAAAGTTCAACAAGCTGTGGGACCAGCCCAGCATCTCGTAGGCCCACAATAGCAGTAGAAGTGGTGGAAACAGCCTGAGAGGTAACCACTATCAATGACTGCAGCTTTGTTATCGATGCCTTTGTTTTATTCAATTTGCCTTCATCTTCTCCTTTGTACTCTTGGCTTTGTAGTGAAGAAAGCTTCCTGTCATGCTCGATTTTCACTCCTTCTCTTGCCTACATCAAAGGGCAAATATGTAAATTTAACATCAACACGCCTTTAAAGAGAAAAGTGGAAATCCATCCCAAAAGAACACAGGAGACAAGACAGAATGAATATGACATATCAATGATTTCATTATGATATGTTTTATACAAAATTCTGCTATTTTAGCAGTAAACATTGTGTTGCCTGCTATGCATGTAAAACCAAAAAAAACTTTGGTTTTTTAGGTCAGTTTGGGCAGGTGTGATATGAATTGACCCCACTGCCCTTCTTTTTTTTTTTTTTTTTTTCCAAATTCGATGACAGACAAAGATTGCTCCAGGTTGTCATACTTGGTCAGACTCCATGTTTTCACTTCTTACAAGGGCAGTCTGGTCATTAGTCATTACACAACAAATTTTCTTTTCCTTAATTGCTGTCTGTCCCCGTTTATACACTTAAATCCAGGAAAAACCTTCCCAAAATACCCTTACTGTCCGCTGGTTATTATTCAAACAGTGGGAATTCTTTTTGGTCATTACCCAAAACCTTAAGATCTGAAAAGAGAAGAAATTATTCAAGATACCCTTTTGTATATAGCAGAATGTGTCAGTCATACATGGTCAGACACTCAGACTACCTACCAGCTAAAATCACCAGGGGTAACTTGGTCATTTTACAACATAGTATTTTCTAGCAAAGATAACAACTTTTTCAGCAAATACCCTTTTCCCTACATACATGGTCAGACTAACATAGAAAACTTAAAAGGATATTTTGGTCATTTCATTACAAAGTATGATATATTGATATGGGAAAGACGATAACTTTTTCAAGACGCACTTTTCTTTTTCTTTCTTCATATCCTGTCTTATATCCGATAAGTGGTCCATACAAACCAACTAACAGGATTGAATGCCACAAAACGTGCTGCTGTTGTTGTTCTAATTAATTAATACAGAAAGAAGACACAATAGAGAAATTTTACAAATTTGCCCTCAATTCACTCTTCTTCAGTTTCTATCATGTTCTTAAATACTATCTTTTAACCATTTTTTATTCAAGCATCATCCTTAGTATCCAAAAATCACTTTAACTAAAAGAGAACAAAAAGAAACAGGGCTAAAGTCATAACATTACTATTACTATCAATTAGAACTTAAAGGAGCATCATATGTTGTTGATATAAAATCAAGATAAAGTTGGGAAAAGTAATATTTTATTTTTCAAGACACTCTTTTATATAACACAATGGATAAAACTATTCCAATACAGTGATTTCACCACTGGCTACAATGGCAAAAATAGTCAAAATCTATGTGCGACTATTGACCAGGGGCATTTTCGTCACTATAGTAAATTCCCACTAGAGAGTAAAGAATATCATCATCAAAGGCAGCCTTTTTCCACGGTTGCACATCTTTATTTCAAGATCTTGTTTGAAAAAATTGGAGAAAAAGATAACCAGAAAAAAACAAATGAATTTCTTAATCATGCCAAAATAATCTGTGGTGTCGGAATCGTGTCTGTGCTTATCAGTTTTGAGGTTAGAATAGTAATTTTGTTACCTTTACTTCTTGGTAGAGTTTCATCTCCCAAGCCAAGAGCCGATCCAGAGTTGAACAGAGACTCTTTGATCCTCCCGGTTCACCAATTGAACCGGGCTCAAACCGGTACTTAACTGCCAATGGTGGCTTCGATGTCCAGCTTGAACTCAAATTACTCAACACCCCACTTGAATGATACACAGTTTCTGCAAATCCGATTCCAAAAAAAGTTAAAAAAATCGAAATAAATATTGGCCAATTCGAAATTTTTGATAATAAAGATAAAAGAAAATCTTACTTTTCATTTGCCGAAAACTCCGGTCGAGCTGGGCTCTTCCGGTTTCCAGCATCTCGGAGACTTGTTCACCGGCGTCGGCTGCCTTATCGAAGTATTCTTTGATAGAAGCGACGATTTCCGCTAAATCACGGTGCCTAACCACCATTCTCATATCGGAATTATCATCATAGTGACCGGTTTTCCAGCTTGCCGATGATGACCCAGCATCTTCGGACTTTTCGGATTTACTCATTGTTGAGAACTTCGATTTGGGGGCGGAGGTGAAGGCGGAAGGTGGTGGAGCCACCGACTCGTTATGGACTGAGGATCCGAAATTGGAGCGACTCTCCATCTCGGATCTGGAATCTCTATCGATTTCTTCATCGTCATCATCGGAAGTGGAGCTGGTGGTGCTGTAATGATCTCCCCATTCGCTACATTGCACCTCTTCTCTCTCCTCTCTCTCACCATCATCTTCCGTTTCGAGATGGTGGCGATGGTAATCGTCATCATGTTGTTGATGAGTTTGGATTTTCGGATGATGATGATTCTTTTGTGAGTAATTCGAATAAATTGAACGCTTGTCTTCATTGTTTTCCCGATGCCCTTGCTCTTTGTAACCCGAATAGATTGACGCCTTACTCGAATAGATTGAGGATTTGTCGTCATCGGTGTCGAAATTTGGTTGCCGTTGATTGAAGTATTCGGAATCGGGCGGTGATGGAGGGTAGAAATTTTCCCAATTCCAGACGGAGGAAGCTTGTGACGGAGTGGACGCATAATTAGCTTGCGCATTGTACGTGTATTTATCTGGATTGTAACCATAATTATTTTGGGGGTTTTCACGAGGAGGATGGTTGAAAGATTTGGGAGGAGGAGAAGTAGACGCTTCGCTTGATTCAGAGAGAATGTGAGGGAGTTTGACGGAGGGTTTATGCCGTCGTTGATGGTGGTTGAGGGAGGCGGTACGGCTTGGGGCTGCGGAGAGAATCGGTGGGAGCTTGGAGCTTGCAACAGAGGGAGATCGGGGAACCGGCGGCGGCGGTGTTGGTGTCTCGTATGAATGAAACGAAGGGGGTTTGACGGTGGTCGTTGTGGAGGAAGAGGAACGAGTGGGGAGGAGAACCGCAGGTGTCTGATCAGCGACGGAGAGGGGTTCTCCAGCTGCGAAGTTAGCGAGTGCGGATCCGGTGATTTTTAGGGAACGGCAGTAGTCAAAGTGGGCAGCGGCGAGGTGGTGGCGGGCGTAGACGGCTTCTTTCATGAGACGGCGGCGTTCCTTGCAACGGCGGACTGAGTCCTCGTTACCTAACTTTGAGGCCGTACAACCCATGTCGGAATAGCTCTATTTTCGCCGCCGGCGGACGCTATGTTTCTCAAGCTAACTGGCGCCTGATTTCAGCACTTTAGAAAGATAAAGGAGAGTGGCAGAGTACACGGTGTGTGTATGTGTCTTCAACTAACAAAAAGGAGGATTTATTTGTTTCTTTGTTTTTCTATTAAAAGACTCAAAAATGAGTTTTTTTTGTTATAGAAAAGTAGAAAACTATACATAATTTAATTTAATCTTAAATATTTGTATTATTAATTACATTTATAATAGAACGGAATAAAACAATTATGAATCAAAGTAAAATTATCAGTCATAGCTAAATTAGATCGAGAGTATTCTCTGGATAACTTTTAGAAGAAAAAAAATGTTACATTCTTATGAAGGGATACGATATTTAATTCATAGTAATAATAATAATAGGCCAATATGCTATTTAGTATAATATTTTATTTTTATAAATATAATTTTAGCAAGATAATTAAGTATTTGTCTTTAAAGACAAGAACAATATAATTTGAAGCAAAAGTGGAAACAGAACAAAATCCCTTGAATTCCTATTTTCCAATTGAAGAAAACAAACATGTCCTTTATCGTATTGTTTACAATCTTGGGAAATATATATATATATATATATATATATATATATATATATATATATATATATATATATATATATATATATATATATATATATAGGTAAAGTGAATATACCTAACAACCTTATATAAGCTTAGGTACCTAACCACATCATACTACGTTATTTTATATCATATTTGCATTGTAATCACCAAAAGTGCTTAAAATTCATCATCATAACTTGATTGTTTCCAAAATCTTTGGACTTTCACCATTTTCAAATGACGTCTTTCTATCGAAGACCCCCTGGTGGGCTTCATATACTACCGTTACAAATCAAATGGTGTAGGAAGCATATAATGGTGAATATCTGAAAATCTTGGAAGTAAATCAAGTTAAGGGTTGAACTTTAAGAACCTTACACGATTGCAATGGAAATATAATGCAAAACAATGTAGTATAATGTGGTTAGGTACCTAAGCTTATATAAGGTTGTTAGGTATATTCACTTTACCCTATATATATATATATATATATATATATATATATATATATATATATATATATATATATATATATATATATATATATATATATATATATATATATATATATATGTTCAGTTCATTTGAGACTATTATAATTTTGTGAAACCGTGACACCAAATTTAAAAATAATTTTAAAATGCAAAATACATGGAAAAATCCAAAAATTCATTTTTTAAATATTATTTTCGGAAATTGAATTAACTAAAAAAATAATTTTTAAAAAATCCCGTTTTTTTTTTTTTGAAAAATACGTGAAATTATCTAAATAGAATATTACACTGACATATATTCTCAAAAATAATTTTAAAATGCAAAATAAATGGAAAAATCTAAAAATTCTTTTTTTAAATATTTTTTTTTTGGAACTTGAATTAACTTAAAAAAAATTAAAAAAAAATCTATTTTTTTTTAAAAATACGTGAAATATTCTAAATAGAATATTACACTGTACATATTCTAAAAATAATTTTAAAATGCAAAATAAATGGAAAAATCAAAAAATTCTTTTTTTAAATATTATTTTCGGAACTTGAATTAACTAAAAAAAATAAAAATAAAATAAATAAATAAATGCATCTCACGTTCTCACAAAATTAGGTCGTCTCATATGAACCTAACCCTATATATATATATATATATATATATATATATATATATATATATATATATATACACGTTATTGTGTTCTAACTAATTATTGTGTGGATGTAAGAATTAGGGTCGGGCCAAGACGATTAGAGGCCCGGGGCAAAATAAAAAATGAGGCTCTTTCGAAAATTTTACGTATTCATATATTACACTATTTTATACATACATAACAGTACATTTAAATTTGTACACCATAGAATGGGGAAAACTAAAAGTACAATGCTATTAGAAGTACAAAAATACTAAAATCTCATCCCCTTTGTTTCTTCATTAACTTGTTCAATTTTGTTTTTGTAAATAAGTTGTTGACCTCCAACTGAAGTAGTTTATCATCTACAAAAAGGTGCTAGGTGAATTGCTTAAATCCAGAATACTTGTTGTTATTAATAACCTGGAAGTAGTTGAAAAAACAATACAACAAGAGAAAATTCTATACATATCAAAAACATAGAAATAGAAATAAAAAAGAGTATCATTCATAAATAAAAAATAAGAATATTAACATTACAAATCGAAATTAAGCAATGAAGTTCAAGAACTGTCTCTAAATCCAAAATACTTGTTGTTGTTAATAACCTGGAAGTAGTTGAAAAAACAATACAACAAGAGAAAATTTTATAGACATCAAAAAATAGAAATAGAAATAAAAAAGACTACAATTCATAAATCAAAAATAAGAATATTAATATTACAAATCGAAATTAAGCAATAAAGTTCACGAACTATCTCTAACTCAAAAATATTAACATTTGATTATGTCTCTAACTTGAACAGCCTCATAAAAATCGAAGTTCAAAAAAGAATAAGAAATTTCAAGGGCGATAGAACATACAGAGATTCACAGTATTATCATAAATCAATATCACCTCTAACAATCGATTCTGAAAACTGAACCTTCACATTTCTAGCAATTGAGAAAGAAATCCAATTGAGGCGATGAGTGAAACTCTCGATTCAAATCTCTAGGCCAGACTCCTAAAATAAATCAAATAACCTTATTAACTTCCCATTGGTGCTATATCAAAAAAAGGAAATCGACAACAAGAAGGGAATCAATAGAGTTTCCCATTTTCTAAAATCGTGAAAAGAACGAGACACAATCAGTCTCTCAATTCTAAAATAATATTTGATTCACTAATGGTTGTTGTGGAAGAATTCAAAAAATCAGAAAATAATGAAAGAAATCGATTAACTTGAAATGTTGAATAAGAAATAGAAGAATCATCGTTAACTCCTGCTTTTGGAGAAGACGTCTTTTGGATTTTCCATGGCAATGTTTGGATTTTCTATAGAAATCTGACTGTTGAAGAGTTACCACGCCTTGGAATTAGGACGCACGCCAGGTAAGTCTCATTCTCTCCCACGCTCCATCTTTTGAATTATTTCCTGATCAGAGTATTGGGGTTTGAAGTAGTCCAATAGGCTAAAAAGTAATGGGCTGTTAATATATAACCAAAAGAACAAGTTAAAAATTAGGGCCCTGTAGCATTTGGGTGCCCGGGGCGGTCGCCCAGCTTACCCATGCCCACGGGCCGGCCCTGGTAAGAATGATTGTAGGTGAATCATTGTAGTTATTTTAAAAAGTGATTTTAGTCAATTAACATAAATTTATAAAAAAAAATACGGATTTTAGGAAATAATTATATATATATATATATATATATATATATATATATATATATATATATATATATATATATATATATATATATTCGGACATTCTAAAAAAATGTGTTTATGATTATCTTGAAAAAAATATTATATTTTTAGAGAATACTATAAACATTTATTATCAAGATTGGTCATTTTTAATGAAAATATTTTATATCAAACGAATTTTAATATTTTATAATGAGTAAGTACATTTATTTTTAAAGAATACAACTATAATAATAAATTATATTTATTTTGAAAGAATACGATTAGCGTGGTACAAATAATGGAATTATAAATATTCTAACAACTAACAATCTTAAATATATAATTGTTGAATAAATGCACTTAATCTTCTTCAATGATCCAAATAATCGACTTGATTCCAACTATTCTAACGAAAATGTAACGTATTATCGTAAAAATGTACTTCTTAGCAAATATTTTTTTTTCTTGAACTCAATTCCAAGTCTTCCTTTTGTATGTGATTGCGTGTTGACATTTTGCCAAAGTGATATGTAAATATTTACAAGAATAAATGATATTATAAATATTCTGCAAGAATGATACACTAACATCAAAGACCATGTTAACACAAAAAGAAGCCTAATGCCAAAAAAGAATAAGTGATATTGTAAATAGAATGGTAAAACAAATTACAACTCTAATGAAAAAAAGAATAAAAAAAAAAATCAACTTTATACAAATATAGTTTTACCCCTGTATCATATCAAATTAAATATTAGAATTTAGAACCTTGTTAAATTTTAGTAAGACGAAGAAAAAAAACTCAAAAAAATGCATTGTAAGAAACACGTATAAATCATTCATAAAATTACGACAATAAAATGAGACATATCTTTGACTCCTTCCCTCAAACGATTCAAATGGATGTTAAACGATTCAAATAAATGTTTAAATTTATGATGTGACATGATTGAAAATACAAATTTTCCAAAAAAATTAAATAAATTATCAATGCTCACCTAGACTTAACAGAATGAGTTCTACAGTGAACCTTTCACTAAAATCTCTATAAAATGAAATGAAGAAGAGGTAATTTGGGTTTTTCAAATCATATGCCCATTTTCATTTAAAAATAGTCGAACCCCATTAAAATTCCAAACAAAAACTGACATAGTTGTATGTACAACTTACATGGTGTGTATGAAAGTTCCAAACATAAGTTGTATATTCAATTTCCATGGCTTATTTCTCTGCTTTTGTCATGGCAATTGCTGACCAATTTTGGTTATGAAGCCTTGTGAGCCGACTACGGAGAGAGAGGACGAAGAAGAGTAATGGTGTGATGTCGATTAGGGATGGATTAAAGACGGCGAATAATATTATTAATTAAAATATAAAATTATAAACTTCTCTTATTCAAGTTTTTTAAAATAATTGGTCCATAATCATTCTTACATTCACATAATAGATAATTAAAATATATGAATATATATATATATATATATATATATATATATATATATATATAAACTTAAATATTGAAAAACAAACAAAATTAAGTGGGTTTTTTTTTTTTAAAAAGTTTATTTTTTATATATCAACATGGATCTCTATGGAAAGAAGACGAAAAATCGAAAACAACGGTATATTCAAGATTTTTTTTTTTTATAAAAAATATGGCCTAAAAATATTCTTAAACGAAAAAAAGAGGTGAGTTTTTTGGTAAGGAGATGGATTGTTTGTTATAATCCGGTATGTGGGCATCCAGTGTAAAATTATACATCTATTTCCTTGACCGTTGATCATTTT